GCATTAATGCATGAAATCTAGAAAAATAGATAGATAGATAGAAAGATAATGTTGCATTGTCAGTTTAAAAGCACAGTCTTCTCCTCATGAGAAAGAAATTAAGATTAAAACAAAAATAAAGGTGGCTACTGAATATTATTCCATCAAACATGAACACCAGTCATTCCAAAAAAGTGAGGAAATGAGGATGTTGTAATAAAATATAAGTAGAATAAGTCATAACTGTGAACAGCATGTAAAACAACTCTTTTTTTTCTCTCCCTAAATCTGAAGTGGAGACTTCAGTGACGGAGGCCTCTCCGCGACTCAGCATGTTTTTCCATCCAAACACGACACAGGCTGATTTTGGTGATTAGTTCCCCTCTCTGGATGGATGGAAACCAATTAGTAAAATCAGCCTCTGTAGAGCCGGAGTGGAACCAAAGCCCAAATGTTCCAATGATTCTGTAAAAACTGTTACACTGCCGTGATTTTCATCATTAAGAAATGTCTCACATTCTGTTGGATTTACAAATGTGTGCTTTATGTTTCCGTTTGCTGACAAATATTAGAAAAAGCTCCTGAAGTAATCACGACAGCTTCGGTATCCCATCATCCTCCTGCAGGGGGGTAATTGCCTGGATAAGTCACTTAAGTTAAATATTGCTTTTTGACTAGAGTCTTGAGTCTTGACAAGTGCGGGGTCGATGGTCAGGGACTTGTTCGTGAAGTCGCTGCAGGTCAGCAGGGGTCAGGGGTCACGACCTGGACGGTCCCCCAGAGGACAATAAACAGGCCAGAGAGTGGCAGAGTCAAAGGTCAAGGGCCACTAATTAAGTGGCGATTTCCGACTATTCCCCAGTGACCACTATAGATGCAGGGAAGGATGGGGAAGTGCATGAAGAAGTCTATGTATAGAAGGGGTTAATAAAACCTTGTCACGAGAAAGAAGATCAGTGAGCGGAACAGCAGAGAGGAAAACATCAGCAGCTTCACCTCATGAAAAATTCTAAACTGAATCTACTCTCACTATCACGTCTTCAGCTCTGGTTCAGATAGGAGTATGTTTGTTTTTTACATTATTTAGACTTTGATACAAGTTGTAAAACCACGTTGACTGAAGGTAGGATCAATTAGCTCATATCTAAACCAAAAAACGTTAGAAGCTACAAGAGAAAGAAACAGAGGCCGGACGACGAGTTGAGGAATCCAAACATTTTGGAGGGAAAGTCGGCAGGAGCTGTTTATGCCTTTCCAGTCTCTGAATGAGCCCATGTGTATGATCCCTTAGCATAAGAAAGGAGATGGGGCCTGTGAACTCCTCTGACACTGACCTTTCTCCCAGGATGTGAATAGTATCACTCGAGGGCTGCACGGCCGCCTTTCAGTCAGACCCCAGCCTTGCCCTCGCCTAAACTCCTAATCAGGCTGATTTAATGTATCCTGCAGGTCCTTCCTCGCCGTGCACCCGGCCCCGCTGCAGCTTCAGAGGAGTCGCTCCGCAGCCTTTTACTGGAGACGCACACACTCACGGCACACACGATCCCCCACACCTCAGCCCTGCCTCTGGGCCCCTGCACTTTGGGAAGTTAGAGGAGCTGGTTTGAAATAACAAGGGGCCCTTTCTCCTCCAATGAGTCGGGGTCTCTTTATAATCAAATGGTTCCTCGTCCAAGGACCTGGCACTCGATCCAAACTGTTCGAGGTTTCTCAGAGTGTCAAAGTTTACAAAATGGAAAAACTGAAAAGAAAAAAAATCTACTTACTCCTCTACTTGATTCTCCAATTCTCTTTATTTCTTACTTCCAGCTGAATTATGGGCTTAATTTAAATGGCATCAGTAGAAATAGCTTGACACAGTAGTACTTGACAAAGTTATATCACTATATTACAGAGTAATTTAACCTGCATGATTTCATTTCACTGTCACGCCTAAAGGTGGATAATTCACATAATAGAGTTTATGATTCTATGAGGAAGTTTGCTTATATTTTCTTAATTTGATATCTTTTTGTATATATGTGTTATTATGTAAATGTTTCCTCTGTAGTGTAAATGTAATGCATTTCGATTAAATTCAAATTTGATTAAAATCTGAATTTAAATTTAGTTTCATGGCATAAAGTAATTTTGGAGAATATACTTGTATATAGTGTCAATATATGGATCAAAGGCCCAAAGTGAAGCTGAACATGTATGAGTGTCGTGCTTCAGGGACAGCACAGGTAGAAACTGATCCTGCAGCAGACAAACCAAATTCACAAGCACTGTCATAAAATTAAACTTGACACACCTTTATGGACATTCAACAACATGTCAAAATCACCAGAAAATGCAGCTTTGTATCAAACTACAATAAAAGTTTCCCTATAATAATCATGTAAATGTTTTACTGGCCAATTTAAATCTAATTATAGTAAAACTAAATATGTGCATCGTCTATTACACATTTAGATATTTACAATACCTGAAAATAAATCAATAATCTTTAAACCTGAACAAAAAATATGTATTTTTTATTTTTAGTGGCTAAACGGGACTGAATGTGACTATTAAAAAACTAGTTTATTGATAAAAAGGAGCATTTTTCGTTGCTGTTGCTTAATAATTGTCTACAGGTTCATTTACACGTGTTTTTATTGGAGGCTTCATGTCAGTGTTTGCGGCTGTGATTGGCGCGATGAGAGCAACGAGTCCCGCCCCTCGCTGCAGCTCGTTCTCACGCTGGGATACACGTAATGTAATGTAGTATACTGTGATGTAATGTAGTTTAATGTAATGTAATGTAGTATAATGTATTGTAATGTAGTATAATGTAATGTAATGTAATGTAATGTAGTCTGTCCTGTGAGAGACCAGACGCTGTACAGGTCTTAATGCACAAACATGATCAGGTAAATAGCTTTAAACAATAATTCAAAGTAAATGATGGATCGTTTGTATTACGTTTTTATTCTGGAGACAGAGAATTTTTGAATTTGAAGGACTGTTCATGAAAAAAAAAAGCCACGTGTTTGTGCATGATTCTTAATCCCCATACCGTGCGCGCAGTTAATTGTGTGTGTGTGTGTGTGTGTGTGTGTATGTGTGTGTGTGCATTATAAATATTTTTTCCTTCACCACTGAACGAGCGACAGCTTTGACTTTTGTTTTAACCGATTTGAGGAAAAAGTTGTTTTATTTATTTATGATAATTCCTGAGTTGCTGTAAAATATATGAACCCACATCACACGTGACCTTGTAAAGTGAGAACTGTCACGAGACATTTTTGATACGACTGAGGTCAATTCATTGAAATACATTGAAAGACAGAAAATCTTTTTTTTAATTCAAACAAATGGTTATAATCCATTGCTCCTCTGTCTCATCCTGCAGAAGCATGAGTTTAAAGAGAAATGTGCATTTAAAAAAAAATATATATTGTGTTGTTTTAATAATTCCACATTTTGTGCTTCATGATTTAGAATGAAAGTGACACCTGGAATCAGCAGTTTTCCTATTATTGGAGACAAGGAGTTGAAAAGCAGGTGGTGTCAGATGATGGTTGATGTTTTGTAACAAATCTGCAGAGAGCTGGATGCTGCACATGCTGGAGGTATTTATATGCTTGGTGAGTATATCTGCATAAAACTAAGATGAACCCCCTCCAGGGTGTGTGAAAAAGGAGAGAAAGCTTTGTGTGTTTGTGTGTGTGT